GATTTCAGGGGTACTAGGAAGAATAAGAGGATAATTCATTTTGGAAGAGATACGAACTCAAGATATTACAAAGTGGCAAAATGAGGAAAAGTATGCTTACAATAATCCTTAAACTAGATGTTCCTGTGTTGCAAAGGGAAAACTCTTACCAGATGTATGGATTTGCTAGAACCCTGGAGCAGCAGGAGACCTGCTGGCATGACTGCAATGTTCAGGCTTCTTTCCAGAGCCAAACAAATACAGGGTCAGACCACCTGCACGACTTACAGAATCCTTATGGAAAAGCAAAGTATTCCTCCACTAGCCACAGTCCCACATTAGACACTAGAGGTGAAATTTGGAAATACAGATGTCTGGGAAACCTCATGTTATACAACCTGCATTTGTGTTGCCTTTTTCCCCCATGGCCAATGATAGAGCATTTCTTTTTCCCCGCGTTATCTGTCTCTGGGCTATGAAACAGAACGAACATCTGTCCCTTTGTCCAAAGAATCTGCTGATGCAGTTTGTTAAAGACAGAGGAGTGCCAAGATGAGGAAGAAGATTTCTATTTATGAAAACTGCACTATCAGTCCAGTCCCTAGTGCGAGGCTGTTACACAGCACAGCAGCATCTTACATCACCTTAGTTTATTCCCTGGCTTGTACTTGGGTCAGCAGGATGGCAGCTTAATTGCCAGACTGTGCAAAAGAAAATGTGAGAGCAAAATTAAAGGACCAGACCTCATAACAATGAGTATCTGAGCAGGCTGTCAGTTATTTCAGTCACCCTTCTGATGGCTGAGCTTGCAGGGCTGGTAATGCTGCTACCAGCAGGACTGCAAATAGGGTAAGTCTTCCTAACAGCTGCTTATTAGTATGCATTCATAAAACATTGTGTCTAATCCATCCTTATTTAGTCACAGTGATTTAATATCTGAAACATACTCATCCTCTATAATTCCCATTAGATACATTCAAAGCTCCTTATGTCATTCAAAGCCTTTTCCAAGTCCCCAGGCCACCAGGATAAACATATCCCCTCACTGCTGCTGCAGCATACAGCTATTCTTTTCGATCTTCAGCTGAAGAACAATTTTCAAGCGCTCAAACGCTCTCTCCAACGCAGTGATTTAAAAATCAAAATAAAACCAAAAGCAAAAGAACATAAGCTGGCAGGCAGGCCCTGTAAGGCTGACTTTGCAAAGCCAACCTGCTTAATGGCCTGTGGTGCCCAGCTCAGCCCAACGGATGCTGGCTGTGCTGTGGATCTCCCTCAGCCTCTGAGCACTGCAAATGCAGAGCACAACCCTCCCCAGTGGTGACAGGAACTAGCAGGGATCACACTCTGCATGTCACATTGCTACTAACACACAATTTGAATTGCTGTCAACACTGAAATTGCTGTAAAGCTGCAATTGCTCTGTGACAGGCTAAAGGACTTGAGGAAGCAGATACAATGGAGAAACATATTTAATCATGTCTTTTTAAATTCCATGGTAGTACAAATTTTTCAAAATAGCTGCACTAAAAGTTGTCTTGACAACATTCCCAGTGAAAATGCAGTAATTTAATCTATTTTACCTAAAGCATATTATAATGGGGATATGAATATACCATCCCTTAAATAGAATTGCTAGCTCTTTCACTGAAATAAATTGCCCCTTTGCACTTTACAATGGATACATTTTTCATAGCAAGAATGTTTAAGAGTTAATTTTCCTAATGAACACAGGCAGTGGCACGGCTTTCCCACGCTGCCCTGGAGACATAGTACTGACTCGCATTTTGTTATACAGAGCTGTTAGGATTGTATGTCACTCCTGCCACCCAGCAGCCTAGGTCACTAGGGGCTGTGCTTGGCCAAGTGTCTTGTTGAAGGTAATGCTTTCTCCTGTTTGCCTTTTCTTAGGGGCAAAATATACCAAGATTTGCACAGAGGCTTCATTTAGGCAGCAAATGTTCTCAAGTTAAAAATCAGGCTTGGCACTCAGTGATGTAGTTCAAACTCCACCTTCATGACTCTGAACAGGGCAGTTACTTAGTTAAATTTCCCTTGTCTTGCTTCCCTCATCATGGAGCCCAGTGCTTACATACTGAAAGGTTGAGATGGGAAGGGACCACAGGAGATCATCTTGTCCAAGTCCAGGGTCACCTACCACAGGTTTGCCAGGACCCTGTAGAGTTGGGTTTTTAATATCTCCAAGGCAGGTTCATAGCGTGCTAGGGCTTAGTGTACCTCCTTGGTGTCAATTCCTGTGCTGAGTTACTGGGTTCCTTGGTGAGCCCCTGCATGCAGGCCAAATCAACAGACCCCTTGTTCTTTGCCATGCTCCTGTTACAGGAGGCTACCAACATCTGGGTCTGGCTGCATGAGAAGATATAAGGCAGAGAAAGTAGGAAACATGGACTGATGTGGGAAAAATAAGGGTGGAGAGAGGTGAGAGAAGGGATCCCACCTGCTGAAGCGAGGAAACAGGTTTGATGTATGTTAGGGATCCCAGAGCAGCAGGTAGGAAAGTAGGACCCTGGACTGAGAGGGTGTTGTTAATAGGAGAGAGGTACCTGGGGTTGATGTATTAGTGTGGTGAGATAGATTAAAGAGAAGTTAGGGTTGGAAGTGTGTCTTCTTTAGTGCTTGTATGTGGCCTATCTAAGGTCTACTTGAAGAAAAGCCATTTTTTCTCCTCCCCTTGGTCTTCCTCTGAAGCCTACACAGGCCAGAATGACAGGGTCCCAACTCAGGCTCTTTTTGTGTTGCCTGTCTTTTCCTCCATGGGATCCACTGGGTTTTTTTCTAAGCTTTGTGCTCTTAGATGTTTCAGCTGCAATGATTTTTATCATGCTTATATCAGGCAGGAATGTATCAGGCTTATATCAGGCCTGACAGTATATCAGGCTTTCAACCACTGGCTGTTTGATCAGGTGCACAGAGGTAGCAGGGAGAATTCAAATAACTATACAATACCTATTGTTTTTCTATTTACCAACTCCTCTTGTTCCCATCTTTGCTTCTAAAAGCCAGGGTTTTCAAACAGCCTGTTGATCTGACTTTCACCGATCAAGTTAACCAGTTCCTGGCTTGCATACAAAGGGCATTCACCCTCCCTTGCTTACTCAGGTCATTAAACTTCAGGGTCTAATTCACTGCTGGTGGGAAAATGCTGCTGCCAGGTAGGTTTATAATGCCATTGTGCCATTTCTGTGAAGTTCCATATCTGCTTTCCAAAGCAACATGTAAATCCAAATCTAGTATTAACTTCCTAATCAGTGAATTGCACCAAGAAAATGATCTCTCTATCATTTCGACATGACATGTGTCCCAGATAACCATTATTTTGTAGTTAAAAGTTCATTAAAATGAACTAACCATTAAAATGAGGCCAAACATAGATGAAAATGCCAACAAAAACATGTCTGAAAAGACAAATGAATAAAATGGCAGTGCCAACAGAAACAGGTTTTCTCACACGATATTTTTAAACATATCTAATGAACATTTTATAAACTTTAGTTGATAAAATGGACTTTCTAAAAAGAATTGTCCTAAGGATGGGGAATTTAAAAATGTAAATGACACTCTGAAGCAGCACGCAATGAGGACACTTTCTGCAAATATCCACATGTATTTCTGTCATGACCTAGAGTTCAAATTTCTCTACTGTTTTGCAAACTATGGAAATAAGTTTAAACTATAATCCACAATTAAATGAAAATGGAAAAAGCACGTTTGAGTTGCACTCCTGTACTTTTACACAATTAGGAACTCAACAGTTCCCTTGGGTCTTCCTTCTTTGGCTGTGAAGGAAAATGGCTGGTTAGTATTTCCAAATCATTTCTATGCTATTCCACAACATCAATTAGCTCAAAAACAGGAGGTTCTGTCTCCCCTTCTTTTAATCCAAACTCCATTTGAAAAACACATCATTAGAAAACATACTTTCAGAGGTTCCTCAAATTTTCCTTTTTTATTTGAAGTTTTCTACATTGAAAGGATCATCCCTTGTCTCAGCTTGAACTTTGCTAATGAGAAGGTCCTCAGGTTTTTTCTTCTCTATGGATGGATAGGAAAACCCAGTGCTTTTCTTGATAGCAAAAAACAAGGGTAGATGAATTACTAGAAAATACCTAAAACAGCAAAACCCACATTAAAGCACAAATCGCAGCCAGAATTCCTGGACAGATCAAAGCAAGGGAATCTATTTTATGACATTTAAAGCTAACTCTAAAATACTAAATAATTGTTAATAAGCTTTGTGTTTTGTAGCACTGGCTGAAGAAGCCTAAGAAGCTGTCAGAGTCTGGGCTGGCCAACAGGCAGCAAGGCAGGACAATAACCTAAGTAATCACGGCAATAAAAGTGTGTCTCTGTGTCAGCAAACACACTTCAGAGGCCAGATGTTTGTGGAAACACAAATTCTGAAATAATCACTCAGAGCACAAAGCAGGGCAGTTCTCTTAAACACATGGCTCAGCAGCCTTCACCTCTGCTAGGGCACTGGCTGGCAGGAAGAGGATACAGATAACCAGCAATATGACTATCTGTTACGAGGGGAACAATTTGTTACTTGCCAAAGGCAGCAAATATACCCATGAAAACTGTTATTCACCCATTCCTGACAGTTTATGGCACTGTTTGCAACATATTCCAATGAGAACCCGGTGGGCATTCAGAGAGACAAAACGGATCTCTTTGTTCATGTTATGCTGATAAAAAGAGACAAACATGAAGTTCTTGTTAAAGAATACAAGAAAACCAGGATGTTCCCATTAGTCCATTAGAGGCCTGACACTGTACCACAGATTGTGCCACATTGTACCACAAAGACACAGGATATGTAGCTCTTCTTGATACTTCTGTAGTGCACCCTCCATCCACTGACTACATTTGTATTTGTTGTATAGGAACATGTTTTGGTGAGAAAAATATTGGTACTTCCATTGATTGGTTCCTTGTTTATGGTAAGAAAATTTTATGCAAAATTAGAACCAAGCAGTGTATGATGCAAATCTTTAAGGAAATGAAAAATCACCCACATGGCAGTTATTTATTATGGAGATGTTCAAAGCATGCAACTTCCGCTAAAAGTGCCATGAGTTGAGTTCTTAAGTTCCCTGTATCTTCAAAGCTTTTTCTCTGCTGATGTCATGGAAATTTAAATTGTTTCTATATTTTCTTCTTAACTGCTGCAGAACTTGAGGAATAATGATCCAACCCCAAACTGCTGTGCCCACATGAACCTAAACAGAAAAAGAAAATACGCCAGTGAATAGGAAATGTCAAACAGAAAAAAAAACAAATTCATACAAGTACATAAAATATAAAAAATGAGGCCAGAAATTATTTCTGGCTATGTGGTTACTTTGGTAAGCTCAACAAAGAGCCTTTCCAGACTGGTTTTGAGCCAATCTAATGCTTTTCTCTTATTAAATAATTTCAATGATTTGTAGTCCTGTTTGTATGCTATTTCCTCCTATTTTAATCTTCACAGGATCAGTGAATGTTAGTTCAGGGATACTATCTCTCTGAAGCACAAGAGGCTTTGTCAACCTGTTCTACAGAAACATCTGAAAATACACAGATCAATTGATTTACCAAAGGCAGTACAGTATCTTACGTGCCTATTCCTTCCTGTCCTGAGATAGTAAAGATTAGAGACACGAGATGCGTTTATTATGCTTTCCCTATGCTTGAACGATCATCATAAAAATGCAGTTCTGCTAAGTCCATAGACTAAGAACCAACGATATTTTGACGCCCTGTGTCACATAGGGCCATCACACCAGGGCTTTGAGGTGTGAAAGCTGATCAGGTAGCACTCAAACCTCACCAGGTTTTTTCTGTCTCATTTATGAAGAACAGTCAGGCAGATGTGTAACACGGGACTGAATTAAGCGGGATGGTTCAAAATTTGGTAAAGTGAGTCAGTCCTGTTCCTTTTTTAGGGCCCGAAATATAAAGAAACAGGATATGTAGCTCTTGATACTTCTGTAACACACCTTCCATCCAAAAGGATCTTGGGGACAGGTGAATGCTTTCACACACTGCTGAGAGCCTGAAGCTCTGCAGGTGGAGTTCTGGGGTCATGATGTGAGATAGCCGAAAGGACTAACACAGGTAGCTGAAGCTGCAGGAAGCAGCAGCAGCAGCAGGCTTCTCTTAAATAGATCAGACTAGCCAGGTACCAAAGCTCTACCTTTGATTGAAAAAAAGGCCTGTGACATCTTAAACAACCACAGTTTGTTGGGGTGATGGCCAAGACAGCGTTTCCAGTGTCATTTGGAAACCCAATGCACTTCATGTACCAATTAAAGAACATCATTTGGGCTCCAGTGTCCCAAACTGCTGTCCTGCTAGTCTCCCAGCTCCAACTGGTGAGACAAACTGCACCAGCACCACATCCAATTTGAACCCACCTTTCAAAACACATCTCTTCATCCTCCTTGTGCCTGGTGTCCCTGATCACCACCCTGACCATTTGATCACTCACAGGTAAGTCAGACTGAGCAAAGGACTGGCCTCCACCTGATAATTTTAAAAGCTCTTGTTCAAGGAAGAATACACACCAACATTGATTTGAGCTTCTCTGCAGTAGCTGAAAGAAGATCTTCTGTCTTCCCATGATGTCTCTTCCAAAGCAGAGGAACAAAAAATGCAGACCATGAATGAGGCTGAAGCAGGCACATCTGTATCTCTGATTGAAGTCTACACTGAGCCCCTATTTTTACCCACTGTTACAGCTAAGATGGCTGATTTACAAGGTCACGTATTTTTCTGAAGGCCGTATCATGAGTCATTTGATTAAAACTGCCCTTCCTGGCTCTCAGTCCTTTGCTCTACTCATTAGTACACACAATGTAATAAAATGTTGGAATATCCCCAGAAGGGAGTCTTGCTTAGACCACTTCCTCTGTAGTTCACTACCACAGACCTCAATTCTTGTCTTGGGCAGCTTTCCAGCTGAACTACATGATGCAAAATAACATTTTAAGTTAAATTTCAAGTGGGATAATGAGCAGCTACAGAACTTCAACATTGTTCTAAATTTAAACAAAACAGCAAGAGGAATTTTAGAGAGTATTCAGGAGAGTAAACAGAATAGAGGCTAAGCAAATACACAGCAGACACTGTTCACCCTTCCTATTATCCATCTTGACAAGCGTTCTTTGATGCATTTATGAACTTATGCCCCCCCCCGCCTTTATTTCAATTTTTAGCAAAACCCCTTTACCCAACACTCTAACCCAGGATAATTGAAAACTGAAAAGCTGGTAAAATTAACCAGCTGCGCTGACTGACGAGAAATATTGATGACATTAGATACTTCATTAAAGTTGCATTAAAACTCTTCTATTTAATAACACAGTTTAAGGAAGGGTTCATTTTATAAACTCACAGGGTGTTGGAATGAAAGATGTGATAGTTCCCATGTAACCTCATAAATTCTCTTGCTAGTCAGTTTTGAGTCTATGAGCTCTAATAAAATTCTCATGAGAACACAGTATCCATCCATAAAAAACTCCTGAACCCCCCATGGGAACTGGCTGGTTTGGAAGGGTTCAGGGGTTCAAGCCTGTGGTTTATTTATTAAAATTTTCTCAGTAAATATATCATGGTATAATAGATAACAACCACACTGTTCTGCGCTATTAACATCCATCTTCCATAAAATACATGAACAGTAAGCTTCAAAAATAGGAAGGAAGAAGATCCTTAAGTTACATTTAAATGTGGGTGCACTGAACCTTTTCTCAAAAAGAGGCTGAAATCATAAACAACAGTGAGAATTTGATTCCTCATTTTTCCCCTCACAAAAACACTGTCATCAGAAGCAGCTCTATGCACAGCTATAAAAAGGGAATTTGGATCACCTGAGCTTTTAATAGAGTGGGTTGAAGTTAGACACCTACAGTGCCAAAAGACAGTCTTGACTTAGAGATAAAACAGCTGTAGCATTAGAAGTATAAATCTGAGCAGGAACACCACATTCATGCTGGAAATACGAGAATTTTGTAAAGCCTGACTGGAGACTGAACCAATTTTACCTTCTCCCATGATCAAGTCTTCAAACCAACCCTAAAACAGTACAAACTCCTTCCCTTGGAGCCAGTGAAGAGCTGTAGGAATGTGACAGACAGCAGTAGCTTTTGTGATGCAATACTGTACCCAAGAACTGCTTAGATACTCTCGTGATGAGTTAGATAGCTGGTTGGTGACAGACTAATTATTTTAACACAGGATCCACAGAGTCATTTCCGCCCTAAAAGGCTCCTCAGGGAGAAAAAGTATTGCTAAAATCCAGATACATCTTCTTTTTTTTTTTTTCTCTTGGAAAGCAAAACCAGTTGGTCTAAATCCACTAATCTGGTGGTGGTGTCTTGGAGAACACTTCCACTCTGAGGTAAAGTATGTTTTTCATAGATGTTCTATGGCAGGTCATTTCAGGCCTTTATAGACAGGCTCTTGGGGTGGCAGGAACAGGGAGGTGATGAAGTCACCTTCCTCCCTTCACTAGAGCCCGCTGCCAGCTTCTAGCTCTGAAAACGACCAGGCTGAATATCACAGCTCTCCTGGTCCAAAAGATACTGCTTCATGTAGGTATGCAGAGCATTGTAGCCCCAGCACACCGCAGGATTCATGACTGTCAAAACCAATACTACTCTAAGGTGCCAGTGTTGAGCATGCCATAGACATCCTCCCTTTCCCTACTCAGCAACTCCCATATCCTCCGCTCTTCTCCCAGTTCTTCTGTATTGAGAGTAAATGGGAGGGGAGGATGCTCTGTGGAAAGGATAGAATACCCCTGCATATTCCATGCCTTGCCTCCCTGGGACACAAATGCACAGCTTTTATATTCAGCTTCTCTGTGCTCCATACTGCACCCCATACTCATCTCCCCATTTCCCAAAGCTGATGCTGTGTTTGCCGATAAAGAACACAAAGCTGGGCAACAAAGGAGCCATTAGTCTCACCTCTCTGTAGCCTGCGTGCACACAGATCCTCCTCAGAAAAATGGACTTTGTTCTGATTTCTGCCACTGATCCACTGGAATGTAAATGAGTTTTACTTTTCATTCTCAAAGAGCTCCAAGCAACTTCACAGGTTTCCTTCACTTACCATAACACCACCTTGAATACATTCAGAAAATCTGCTTAGCTAGGACATTTGAAGTTCTGTCTTTGTATTTCTAAGCAGTGTGCTTCATGTTCCTCCTGGGACTGCGTTTTTATTAAGAATTCTCTGTATCGTTCCTTTCCCTCCACATGAGCTCAGCACATGTACAGTACTGGGATGCCTGGATTAGAAACATAATTAACAAAAGTATTCAAACAACCTTTTTTTTCATTTCCTGGAAGAAGTCAGGCTTACTGTGTGTGCGTGTGTGTGCATTTGTGCTCAGGCACGTGACGCAGCTGGTTTCTTTCACACTGACACAATGAATGTTTAAATAAAACTTTGTAAAATTCAACTGTTCAACATGTAAAGTTAAAAACCATTAACAACCTTTATTAATTTCTCAGTGGAATCAAGAGTGTGATCCTAGAAATTGTGTACACTATTATTTAAGCTTAATCAGCTATACCCTGTGCACATACAGGAAGTCTGCAGGCACAGTACCTTTACACATTTGTACATCTTGTCTCTGGAATACAGGTGGCATTTGCCAAATGATTTACACTATATGGCAAACAGAAAGCAAGGGAATACAGAATTCATTGACTTTTGTGAAGTAGAAACTAGATCTGAATTCCTTTTTAGCCCACTCAAAATCCTAAGGCTTTAGGAAAAGCTTCTGCTCACATTTTAGCTCCAGCAATAACAGTGACCTGCAATTTACATAGAATCATAGAAAAGTTAGGGTTGGAAAGGACCTTAAGATCATCTAGTTACAACCCCCCTGCCATGGGCAGGGACACCTCACAGTAAACAATGCCAGCTAAGGCTTCATCCAACCTGGCATTGAACACTGCCAGGGATGGAGCATTCACAACCTCCCTGGGCAACCCATTCCAGTGCCTCACCACCCTTACAGGAAAGAATTTCTTCCTTTTATCCAATCTAAACTTCCCCTGTTTAAGTTTGAGCCCGTTACCCCTTGTCCTATCACTACAGTCCCTAATGAAGAGTCCCTCCCCAGCATCCTTATAGGCCCCCTTCAGATCCTGGAAGGCTGCTATGAGGTCTCCACGCATCCTTCTCAAGGATGAACAGCCCCAACTTTCTCAGCCTGTCTTCATATGGGAGGTGCTCCAGTCCCCTGATCATTCTCGTGGCCCTCCTCTGGACTTGTTCCAACAGTTCCGTGTCCTTTTTATGTTGAGGACACCAGAACTGCACACAATACTCCAAGTGAGGTCTCACAAGAGCAGAATAAAGGGGCAGGATCACCTCCTTCGACCTGCTGGTCACACTCCTTTTGATGCAGCCCAGGATACAGTTGGCTGTCTGGGCTACGAGCGCACACTTAAGCGGGCTCATTTTAAGTTTCTCATTGACCAACACCCCCAAGTCCTTCTCCGCAGGGCTGCTCTGAATCTCTTCTCTGCCCATCCTGTAGCTGTGCCTGGGATTGCTCTGACCCAGGTGTAGGACCTTGCACTTGACATGGTTAAACTTCATGAGGTTGGCATCAGCCCACCTCACAAGCGTGACAAGGTCTCTCTGGATGGCATTCCTTCCCTCCAGTGTATCAACTGGACCACACAGCTTGGTGTCATTGGCAAACTTGCTGAGGGCACACTCAATCCCACTGTCCATGTCAGCGACAAAGATGTTGAACAAGACTGGTCCCAACACCGCTCTCTGAGGGACACCACTCGTTACTGGTCTCCAGCTGGACACTGAGCTATTGATCACAACTCTGTGTGCGGCCATCCAGCCAGTTCTTTATCCACCGAGTGGTCCACCTATCAAATTGATGCCTCTCCAATTTAGAGACAAGGATGCCGTGTGGGACAAGTCCAGGTAGATGACATCAACTGCTCTTCCCCTGTCCATCAGCTCTGTAGCCCTATCATAGAAGGCCACCAAACTGGTCAGCCAGAGTTTCCCCTTAGTGAAGCCATGCTGGCTGTCACCAAGCACCTTGCTGTTTTTCATGTTTTCCCCTTCTTAAAAAATCTCAAATTTACAAAGATTGACAGCGGTCATTTCAGCGAACAGTGAACTGCAGAGATGGGGGGAAATAAGTTTGTGACATAAAGAGACAGGCCACAGAACTGAAAGATGAAAGACAAGAATAGTGTATTCTCTTGAAAAATGTAGAGGGCAACAGGTAGACACACTATAAATTATAACGGGATTATCCTTCAGCTTGTAAAGAATGTCAAGAGACCTTCAATACTTATAGATGGTCAGTGCCTCCTTTTTCAGTCACTTCTGACAGATGGCTCTTCCCTACGGCCCAGCAATGATATGCTGTCCTGGGTTCAGCAGTAGCAGTCAATTTTTCTCCTTCTTAGTAGCTGGTGCAGTGCTGTGTTTTGACTTTCAGCCTGGGAATAGAGCTGATAACACCGATGCTTTTGACTCTTTCTAAGCAATGTTTACTCTGACCAAGGACTTTGTGAGTCTCATGCTCTGCCAGGGAGGAGGGGAGGCCAGGAGGAAGCAGGGACAGGACATCTAACCCAAACTGACCAAAGAGGTATTCCATACCACAGCATGTCATGCCCGGGGAGGTAACTGGGAGTTACCCAGAAGGGCATGGGCTCTCTTTTGGAATCAGGCTCGTTTTGGCAGGTGGTATCATATTCTCTTCCCTTGCTATTTTCCCTTATCATTATTATTATTGGTGGTAGCAGCAGTGGTTTGTGTTATACCTTAGTTACTAGCCTGTTCTTATCTCAACCTGTGGGAGTTACATTCTTTTGATTCTCCTCCCCATCCCTCTGGATGTGGGCAGGTGGGGGGGGAAAGGAAAGAAAGAGGGAGGAAGGAGGGGGAGTGAGTGAATGAGCTGCATGGCTGGGTTTAAACCACAACATACGCCAACAACAATTAGAGACTGACTCAGAGCAAGAGTGGTGCCATACTTTGCAGCTGTATTTATAGTCAGGCACAGAGTTTTCCTTGCATACCCACCTCCATTTCAAAAACATCATGTGAAGACATACTGAAATAATAGCAGTCACATAGTTCTATGTCCCCACCCTGATTTACCACCATAAATCATGCTGAATTGACAGAAAAGGCT